TTGGGGAGGCACTGTGCACAGGATGTGTAAACACAGCGCAGTGACATCTACTTGCTGTATGGATATGTTGTTAGGGAAAGATGTGTTTCTAGAAACAGTGGTACATGCCTCCGTCCCTGACCTATCAGCGTGAGAGACAAAGAAAGGTTAATGTGAGCATCTCTGAAAGCAGCGAATGGAGAAGTGAACTCACTTCTTCTAATTCACCTTCCTGGAAAATACTACAACCCCCATACCAGTGACTTTTCCTTTTCTTCCTAAGCACTAGGAAGTCTGAATTCATGTGATGCTGGTTACCAATTTTCCCATACATGTGAGCAAATATGCTGCTTTGTTATGTCTCAAGATAAAGGCTTTTAACATTATGTATGTAAAATGAAGAAAAAAGGAAAAATAAGGATCTCACATTTAACATAGTTATCAGAATCATTTATCACAGAGCTAATGGAGGAGAGAATTTCAAAGGTGATCATACTATGTTAAATGTGAGATCCTTGTTTTTCATTTTGTCACTGACAGTACCTATCAAACAGCTTAAACTCTCTTTAATGGAAAAAGACTTATTTAAAATCATAAAACAGATAACAAGGACTTGTGAGGTATGTCAGAGAAACAATCCTTCAAATCACCATGTAGCTCCCCCAGCCATACAGAAATAAGATAAATGTCCAGGTGAAGATTAGCAAATGGATTTCACTCATCTCCCTAAAGTACATGGTATGCAATATTTGCTGGTATTTGTAGATACATTTACCAATTGGGTTGAGGCATTCCCTTGCAGAATAGAAAAGGCTGAGGAAGTGGTAAAGGCTTTAGTACATGAGATTATCCCCAGGTTGGACTCCCTCAGAGTTTGTAAAGTGATAATGGACCAGCCTTGAAAGCAGCTGTTACACAGGGAACATCTAAAGTCCTGGGCATAGAATATCATCTACACTGCTTTTAGAGGCCCCAGTCCTCTGGGATGGTAGAAAAAAATGAATGATAAAATCAAAGGACAGTTATAAAAGCTAACTCAAGAGACTCATTTCCATTGGACTAAATTACTTTCCATTGTCCTCCTTAGAATAAGAAATTTACTTCGGAAACTCAGTTACAGCACATTTAAATTATTATAAGGAAGACTCTTTTTAACTAATGATTTATTATTAGATAGAGAAACTACAGAATTAGTAAAACACATTACTTCTTTAGCTAAATTTCAACAAATCCTTAAGAATCTCCCAACTACATTTTCACATTCAACACTGAAAGAGCTTTTCGCTCCTGGAGATCCAGTCATGATCAAAACTCTTCCCTACAATACACCTTCTCTAACCCCAACTTGGGAAGGTCCCTTTTCTGTTAATCTTGTTTTCTTCTATAGCTGTTAAAGTTATGGGACTAGATTCCTGGATACATCATTCACAAGTAAAATTCTGGAACCTACCACCTCCTACAGAAGCAGACCATGAAGAGAATCAACCACAGCCCACCTACACTTGTGAGCCTAAAGAAAATTTGAAGCCATTGTTTAGAAACTAGCAAAGGAAGTATTAATATAATTTTCTCTTGAAATCACTGATTTTGTTATTTCCAACCTGACACCAATAGCACTATAATTAACTTCCTCCCGTTTTAATATACTAACCAGATTTATGTATTGCAGAGACCATGTCATCAGGCCACAAACAGTAATGATGATTCTAGTCCAAGACCTGATTCTATTATGGACCCCTGCATTGCCCTCCCTCTGGAGAACCCTAACTGTCCTCTTAGATCATCACCTGGTCCAGCAGGACGCAGTTAGATTGAGTGGTCGTCCTTTTTCCCTAACAGCAGTTAGAGTTTCTACTTGGAGAGGGAGGATTGATACAGGGTTCAACCCCTCCCCCATTCAAGCCTGGACAGAGGACTCCAGTTTTCTTAGGCTTGGGCAAGTTCACAAAGGGAACAACCTGACCTTTTGCCCTGAACTGGAGGGACTGCATTCATCCCTTTGTCAATAACACTCATTAATGATGAAAACATGTTTCTATTTGCCAAGTCCTGGCCAAGTGTAATTCTCAAGACCCAATACCCCAAAAGAGCCCACATACAGATTCCTCAGTTAGCTAGTTCTTTTCCCTGGCCAGAAGCTCTGGTGCCTTTTATTTCTTCTTCTAATTTCTAATAAAAATCTTTCTTGCTGCTGATCTGTGGTCTGTGGCTTCATTCCTCGAATCCCCAAGACCAAGGACCTACTGAAGAGGGAAATTCTGGTATCAGTTACATAGTTTTCTTTTATGTATTTTAACCCAGAAAGTGTGCATTGTACTTGTTAGGTATGAGTTTACCTATTCTGCCCCCCCCCCCTTAAATTCTGTTTTGCCTCTATATGAGCATATAAATGTTGATTAAATAGTTCAAGTTAGTACTGAGTACTTGTGATGTTTGTTTTTCTATTCTTGTGGTACTTAGGAAAATGGTCTCCAATTCCATCAGGTTGTTACAAAAGATACTAGGTTACCATATTGTATCGCAGAATAGTATTCCACAGTATGCTGACAGCACATTTTATTATCCATTCATGTATTTATGGGTGGTTTTCACATCTTTGTGATTGTGAATTGTGCTGCAATAAACATTTGAGCACAAGTGTCTTTATGATAAAATATTCCCCCCACTTTGGGTAAAAACCTAGTAGTGAGATGGTTGGATCAAACCTTATGCCTACTTTTAGTTCTTTAAGATATCACCTAACTCCAGTGAGAATGGCACATATCAATAGATGCTGGTAAGGATGCAGAGAGAAAGGAATGCTCTCACACTGTAAACTAGTACAACCTCTGCGGAAAGTAGTATGCTATTTCTTCCTTTTTATAGTTTCAATTAAATATATCTGCTACATGCCAGGACTTATATCAGTCATGTATATTACCCATGTATCTATTAGCCCATTTAGTTCTCTGATCAGCCTTGTAAGAGTAGCACTAACAGCATCCTCATTGCAGGTCAGAGGAAATGCAGCACACAAAGGTGGCACAGCTTGTCTCAAATTTCTTAGGAAGTGACACAGCCTTTAGCCTGCAGCCACGGTCTACTTTTCTATTGTTCAGTCCTCTGCTCTTTTGCTTCTTTTCCTAATGTCCCATCTTTCATATTTTTCTTACACAGACCTGTTTATTCTCAAATAATCTATTTTAGTCATCCACTTAACCTATAAGCAGAAGGCCTCAAAGTTACTTAGACTCTGGCCGCCACCAAAGCTTGAGGCTGAGACTCTGTCCTAAAGACCCACAAACCTCACAGGAGCCACAAGCGCCTCAGTCATCTGACCCCACCTCTAACTGCAACCATATCTGCTGCCACTACTGAGGCCCCACCTGCCAGCTGCCTGTCCTCCTTCATGTCATCTTTGTATATATGAGTCCTCTTTCTCCCACTTAAGTTCACTTTGTGCCCTCTGTGCCCTCTGCCCAGCTACACAGCCTTGCAGGGGCTCCTTCCTGCTCATCCTGCTCACTAGTTTGTGCTCACTTGCCAGATGTTAGCTCAGAGCACCTCAGAAGTCTGACCTTGACCCTACAGACTAGTTCAGAGTCCTCCATTTTATTCCTGCAGGATTGATGAGTGACATTACTCACAGTTACTAGTTTGTAATTATAAGATGAACATAATTCCATGACACCCTCTCTCAGCTGATTTTTGTTGTTGTTGTTGAGACAAGATTTACTCTGTTGCTCTTGGTAGAGTGCCATGTTATCATAGCTCACAGCAACCTCAAACTCTTGGGCTCAAGTGATCCTCTTGCCTCAGCCTCTCAAGTACCTAGGGCTGGAGGCACTACCATAACATCAGGCTAGTTTTTCTTCTTTTAATAGACATGAGCGTCTCCCTTTTGTTCAGGCTGGTCTCAAACTCTTGAGCTCAAATGATCCACTAGTCTGCCTTCCAGTGTGCTGGGGTTAGAGGTGTGAGCCACTGCACCTGGCCTGCCACTTGATCTTAAGGCTTCTTGAGAAATGGGGCCATGTCTTTTTACCTTACCCACTTGCCTGTACCCAGCTCAGCATCTGGGACACAGTGGCTACCAGCACACAAAAATGTGTACTGAGAAACAGGCTGAATAATTTCCCACACACTCACCCTCATTTTAACCCACCCATACAGAAATTATTTTGCTGAAGTGTCAGGCACTGCCAGGCACTTGTCTACTGACTAGATGACTTTAAATCACCTCCCAGTACTCATCCTGATTCAGCCTCCTCTCCAGGGATTTGACATCCATTCTAAGCATCTTGCTGCTGTCTCAGCCCCCACTCTCCATCTCACAGGTGCAGGACTGATAGGCTTAGCTTGGATTATTCTTTTGAATGACTATCATAGTCTGCAACTTCGTCACTTCCAAGATATGCATTGCAAGAGTATATATAACACACCTGTGTGTTTGTTATAAGGCACTCACTGACTTGTCCAGATAGTTATTTAAATACTCACAATTGTCACTGAGCTATAGGCCTATCGTTATTATATACACATCTATGTAGGCATCTCCCATCAGGCAAATGTCATTTCTTTATAATGAGCTAATTCGTGTAAAAGGAAAAAAAAATGAAATTTGAAAAAAAGATTTTTAAAAATATGATCATGTCTTGTAAACAAAAAAGATTTTAAAATAATGTCCATGGAGTAGTTCAGTAAACAATGGAAGGAAGGAGCTCAGGAATTCTCCAAACCTATTGACAGTGAAAATAAGCGATTAGCGGCACTTTTAAGGCACAACAAGAGGGATTCCAGTTAGAAATGCTGTTTCCTGAGACAGGAGGTTAATAGTGTTAATTTCACCCTCAAAGTCAAAAGTGCCAGAGCAGTAAGTTTTCTCAGGGAGTGGCTCCTTTGAATTTTTGAACCCCAGCCAGCAGATGACACCCATCCTGCTTCTCTGAGATTGTGGGACTCCTTCCTTCCCTGCCAGACCCCTAGGGACGATAGCGCGGGCGGCAGAGAAAGCTACGCTGCTATCTTCGCGGCCTCTGGCCATGGCCTCGGCGGCGCCTGGGGAGCGGCTGCAGCAGGAGGCCAGATGCCCGGTGTGCCTGGATTTCCTACAGGACCCGGTCAGCGTCGACTGCGGCCACAGCTTCTGCCTCAGGTGCATCTCGGAGTTCTGTGAGAAGTCCGAGCGCGCGCAGGGCGACATCCACACTTGTCCGCAGTGCCGTGCCCCCTTCCGGCCCGCGGGCTTCCGGCCCAACCGGCAGCTGGGCAGCCTAGTGGACAGCGTGCGGCGGCTGAGGCTGGGCGCGGGGTCCGCAGGGGCGCGGCAGTGTCCGCTGCACAGTGAGGACTTGAGCCATTTCTGCGAGGAGGACCAGGTGGCGTTGTGCCCAGTCTGCGCTACCTCCCTGGAGCACAGGAGCCACCGCACCGCGCCCCTGCAGGAGGCAGCGAGATGTTACCAGGTGAGAGCCAGCTCTGCGCTCCTGCTGTGGGCGCACCTGAAGAGGTGCCCTGCAGTTGGCAATCTGGAAATGCTGCTGTGACACAGGAGTAGGCTGAGCTCAGATGTTAAGTGACCAGCAGAGAGATAGAGCCCAGTGATACGACTCAGGACTCCTGAATGACCCCCTTCTCCTCCACCCTCCCCGCTGCCTCCCTCACATCTCACACTCAAATTGGGGCCTCCTGACCTTTGCTCCTGGTAACCCTGTGAGGGATCTCTGCTCGAGAACCCGAATACACGCATTGTGTAGACTTTCTACCTCTCCCCAAAACCCTTTCTTGTCCTTTAATTCCTGCGGGAATTATTCTTCCTGATGCTGATAGTCTGGGTCTCACAGCTAGAGGTCTGATGGGGGAGGGCTGTGTGGCGGAATTGATTCTTGGTGAGAATTACGTGTCTCGTAAACTTCCCTAAACTTTGCTAATAATTCTCATTTGTACGATGTTTTGCTTTTTCATTTTTCTCTCCTTTTGATTAATATTGTCACCAAAACACCCCTTAGGTTTTGGGCCTTTGTTCAAAGGAGCATCCATTTGGGTCTCTAATCACCTTTCGAAGCTTTGGGCCGGCACCTGTCCCCTGGTTGTAGAAATTGAGTAATACACAGGCCACTGTATTCAACAGATATTTGAGGACTAATAATCTGGACATCCTTCATGAAGAGGGGTATTGGAGTATTTGGCCCCCAAGAGTGGCAGTTGTGGAGCTCTGTGTGTAGAATTCTTCCTACTGGAGCTCTTCAAGAGTTCTTGGACATATTATGAATGCATTTAACTTCCCAACATCTAGAATAGCTACTAGCACAAAGGAGGTCAAATTCATCTTTAATTTACTGACATATTTAACTAAATAATTATCCCACTGTGATACATTGCAAATGCTAGCTAGCTTTCTTAAAATTATTATTTGCTTACATAGCTTGATTATTTTAAGCTAAGATTTGGAATAATTTCCTCTTAACTTCTCCCTTGATCTCTCTGGAAATCTCTCTCTTGAATTTTCTTCTTGATTTTGGTTGTCATCTGCAAAATTCAGGTACTCAATACTTTCTATCAAGACTTTTACGTTATGCTCCCCCCCTTTAATCCAGAAAGTACCACATGGAGCATGACTAGTGTAATACTTCTAATGATGTTCTGAATATTTTCAGTAATTCTTCAATTAAATACCAAATAAATATCATCTTACTTCCTATGACTGTCCACCAAGACTTCTAGAGGCCCTAAGTTATATTTCTGTAGCTCTAGTCTTAATCAATCATGAGATCCAACAAAATTAGCTTAATCACTGTTGTCACCAAACATGCCACATTTGTTTTTTCATCTCCTTGCATTTGCTCAGTCTGAGTTTCTTTGGACTGAGGGAGATTTTCTCCGTCTACAAGTGGCAAAATGCTTTGTGAACATCAAAAAATAACCACTTTCCCCACTTTGTCACATGCCATCATGAATGCTCTTGCTATTCTAAGAACAGCATTATGCTAGTCTCCTTTAAAAACAATTGATGTATATAGAATAACTTTGGGAATAGTTTTTTTTTTTTTTAATTACCAAAAGCCTATTTGTGTGTTTATCCTTGTGGATATTCTCTGTAGATTAAATACATATATTTACCTCTAGCAAGGGTCTTATTTTTCTTAAATATCTTATTTTATTGAGACAGAGTTTTACTCTGTTCCCCCAGGCTACAGTGCTATGGCATCAGCCTGACTCATAGCAACCTCAAATTCCTGGGTTCAAACCATCTTCCTGCCTCAGCCTCCCAAGTAGTTGGAATACAGGTACCTACCAATGCCCGACTACTTTTGTTTGTTTTTTTGTTTTTTTGTGGAAACAAGATCTTCCTCTTGCACAGGATGGTCTCAAACTCCTGAGCTGAAGGGGTCCTTCCCACTCAGCCTCCCAGAATGCTAGAATTATAGGCATGAGCCACCCCACTTTGCCAAGAGTCTTACTATTAAAGGGAGATTTAGTTTTTGTTGTATTATATGTGTACTCATTGTAAGATTTAAAAATTTTTTCTTAAAATTAACATGACAGAACAAATTTTTAGGTTACATTGTTCTCATTTTCAAAGTAAATTTCAAGTTGTAGGAGAGCCCCTAACCTAGGGGGATGTGCTGAATAATCTCACATTGTGCACATTAGGTGACATCCCACCAAATGTCCTGTTGCCTCCTCCATTCAATGTCCTCCCTTCCCCTCCCTTCTTCCTTTTCACCACTCCTCCTTGCTAGACTATATTTGTGATTTATCATTCATATGCGTGTGTAAGGGTTTACATACTGGTTTCATATTAGTATTGAGTCCACTGAATACTGATTATTTTTTCCATTCTTGAAATGCTTTACTAAGAAGAATGTGTTTCAGCTCCATCTAGGTAAATATAAAAGATGTAAAGTCTCTATCTTTTATATGGCTGAATAGTATTACCAGGTATACATATACTTCATGGAATTTGTTAATCCATTCATAGGTTGATAGGCACTTGAGATGCTTCCGTGACTTTGGAATTGAGCTGTAGTAAGCATTCTTGTGCAAATGTGTTTGTGGTAAAATGATTTTTGTTCTTCTGGCTAGATACTTAGTAATGGGGTTGCAGGATCAAATGGGAAGTTGACTTTTAGTTCTTTAAGGATTCTCCATACTTCTTTCCATTAGGTTGTATTAGTTTGCAGCCTCACCTGCATGCAAAAGTATTTCCTTCTCTTCACATCCATGCCAGCATCTGCACTTTTAGGACTTTGTGATGTGGACAAATCTTACTGGCAATAGGTAATATATCAGAGTGGTTTTGATTTGCATTTCTCTGACGATTAAAGGTGATGAACATTTTTTTTTCTGTATTTGTTGACCGTTTGTCATCTTCAGAGAAGTTTCTGTTCGTATATTTTGCTCACATAGAAATGGGGTTTTTGCTCTTTTCATAATGATTGACTTTGCTGTAGATTCTAGTTATCAGACCTTTGTCAGATTCATAACATGTGAAAATCTCCTATTCGAAAGGGTGTCTGTTTGCTTTGGTTGTAGTACCCTTAGCTGTGCAGAAGCTTTTTAGTTTGATCAAATTTTAGTTATTTATTTTAGGTGTTGTTGCGATTGCTAAAGGAGGTGTTCCTCAAAAAATATTCTCCCAGGCCAATACCTTCAAACATTTTGCCTTCATTCTTTTCTAGAATTTTTATTGTTTCATGTCTTAATTTTAAATATTTCATCCAGTGAGAATCAATTTTTGTCAATGGTGAGAAGTATTGGTCCAGTTTTAGTCTTCTACAAGAGGCTAACCGATTCTGTATGCACCATTTGTTAAATATGAATTCTTTTCAACAGTACATGTTTTTGTTAGGTTTATCAAAAATGAAATGATGATATTTGGCTGGGTTCTTCTCTGGATTTGCTCTTCTATTCCAGAGATCTGTGTCTCCATTTTTGTGCCAGTACCATGCTATTTTGATCACTATAGATTTGTAGTATAACTGAAGTCTGGTAACGTGATGTCTCCAGATTTCTTTTTATTTCTAAGGATTGTATTGTCTATTCAGGTTTTTTTCTGGTTCCATATGAAATAAAGTACTACTTTTTCAAATTCTTTTAAAGTATGACATTGGTGCTTTGATATGGATTACCTTAAGTCTGTAGATTGCTTTGGGTAGTATGTAACAATGTTGCTTCTTCCCAGCCCTGACCATGGTATGTTCTTCCATTTGTTAACATCTTTTACTATTTCATTTCTTAGGGTTGGGCTGGCTCTAGCTCAGCAGTTCTTTCATATATTCAGTGCATCTTTCATTTCTTAGGGTTTCATAGTTATTTTTTATGGAGATCTTTCATGTCCTTTGTTAGATATATTCCCAGGTATTTAATCTTCTTTGGCACTACTGTAAAAGCAATAGAGTCTTCAATTTTATTCTTGGCTTAACTGTTGTTGATATATATGAAGGCTACTGATTTGTGGGTATTGATTTTGTGACCCATGATACTCCTATGTTCCTTGATCACTTATAAGAGCTTTGTAGTTGATTCTCTGGAGTTTTTTAAATATAAGATCACGTTATTCCCAAAGATCAAGTGTTTGACCGCCTCTGTTCCCATTTGAATACCCTTGGTCTTCTTTTTTGCCTGATTGCAATAGCTAAGACTTCCAGCACTGTGCTGAATATCACTGAATGGGCATCTTTATCCAGTTCCAGATGTAAGTGGAAAGGCTTTCAGTGTTACTACATTTAATATGATATTGGCTGTGAATTTGCTGTTGATAGTCTTTTTCAGTTTAAGAAATGTCCCACCTAACCTATTTTTTGAAGTGTTCTTATCAGGAAAGTATGTTTGATATATCAAAACCCTTTTCTGCATCAATTAAGAGAATCATGTGCTCACTGTTTTTGATTTTATTTATGTCGTGAATTATATTTATTGATTTAATATGTTGAACCAACCTTGTAACCCTTGGATAAAACCAATTTGATAGTGGTGTGTAATTTTTTAATGTGTCACTGTAGTCTGCTTGTTAAGATCTCATTGTATTGATATTAATCAAAATATTCATCTACAGTTTTCTTTCTTTGTTGGGTCCTTTCCAGGTTTGGGGATCAGGATGATATATGCTTCACAGAATGTGTTGGGAAAGATTCCTTCCTTTTCTGTGATTTAGAATAGATTGTGTTACATAGGTACTAGTTCTGCTTTGAAAGTTTGGTAGAATTCTGTTATGAAACCATTTGATCCCAGGTTTTTCTTTTGGGGGAAATTTTGTATAGTTGATGTCATTACAGTGCTTGATTTAGGTCTATTTAAAATTTTTATTCTTTCTGGTTGAGTTTAGGAAGGTGGCATGCTTTCAGGTATTAGTTCATTTCCTCTACATTTTCATATTTCTGAGAATAGAGTTGTTTGGTAGTAATTGTTGAGGATCTTTAGTATTTCTGTGGTATCTGCTGTTATTGTCCCTTTATTGTTTCTGATTGAAGTTATCAGAGATCTTACTTTTCTGTTTCTGGTTAGTCTAGCTAAAGGTTGATCAATTTTATTAATTTTTTCAAAGAACCAAGTTTTCATTTCACTGATCTTCTGAATGATTCTTTTCATTCAATTTCATTTAATTCTGCACTAATTTTCATTATTCTTTTCTTCTGCTGGATTTGCAGTTGATTGTTTGCCCTTTTCCAGTTGCTTGAGATGGCACATTAGGTTGCTGACCTGCTGTCTTTCTGTTTTCTTGATTAAGGTTACTAATGCTATAAATTTCCCTCTTAGGAATGCATTTGCAGTATCCCACAGGTTTTGATAGCTTGTAGATTCATTATCCTTTTGTTCCAGAAATATAATGATTTCTTTCTTAATCTCATCTTTGACCCAGCTATCATTCAGCATAAGGTTATTTAGTTTCCATGAGTTTTTTGAGTATGAAGATTTCTGTTGCTGTTCAGTTCAATTTTTATTCCTTGATGGTCCAAAAAGATACAGGGGATAATTTCTATTATTTTGAATTTGTTGAGGTTGGCCTTGTGTCCTCAGATAAGATCAATTTTGGAGAAAGATCCATGGGCTGATGAGAAGAATGCGAATTCGGTTTTATTAGGATAAAATGTTCTGTAGATGTCTGTTAAGTCCATTTGTTCTAGGGTCAAGTTTAAGTCCATTATTTTCTTGTTTATTTTTTTCTTGAAGGATCAGTCCAGAACTGCCAAAGAGATATTAAAATCTCCAACTATTGTAGTGCAGAAAGATATCATATTTTTTTCAGATATGTTAGGGTGTGTTTTATAAATCGAGGAGCATTCCGGTAAGGAATATAAATGTTAATTATTGAAATCTCTTCACGTAGAGTGTTTCCCTTGACAAATATGCAGTGTCCATCCTTGTTTTTCCTTATTTTTATTGGTTTAAATACAATTGCATCTGCAAATAAGACTGCAACCCCTTCTTTTTTCTGATTTTTAATTGCCTGTATTACTGTTTCCATCCCTTGACCTGGAGTCCTATTTTATCCTTTAAGATAAGGTGTTTTTCTTAGAGGCAGCAGATACCTGACCTGAGTTTCTGTGTCCAGTCAACCAGCTTGGGCCTCTTTACAGGAGAATTTAAATAATTCACATTAAGTGAGAGAATTAATAGGTATGATAGTGTTTTGTCATCTTATTTTTCAGAGATCCAGTGCATGTTTTTAATCCGTTTCACCATTGTGGCACTAGATTTTGTTCTTTAAATTCTGGGTGAGTTTACTTTGGTGATGGACCATCCTGCTGGTCATTATGAAGAATAAGTCTGAGCACTTCCTACATATCTGGTCTAGTTATGGGAAATTTCCTTAACGTATGGATGTCAGTAAAGTATTTGATTTCTCCATCACAAGTTAAACTCAGTTTATCAGGATAAAGAATCCTGGGCTGAAAGTTGTTTTGTTGTAGAAGGTTAAGGGTAAGTGACCATCCTTTTCCAGCTTGAAAGGGTTTGGTGGAAAGATCTGTGGTCATTCTTTCCCTTTATAAGTAATACTTTTATTATACCTGGTTGTTTGCAGGAGTTTAGGAA